GTGGTCTTTGGGAGAACAAGGGCAATCTGCTTCAAGACTCTCTGACAAAGACATTGTCCTCCTTGCAGATTTCCATGATGTAGTGAAGTCTTAAATTCAAGTCTCTCCCATCAGGTGGAATTATTTCATGGCTGCTGAGTTAGCTGAGTTCCCATCCCAATATCTCTCTCAGCAATTTTCTTTTAATTTTTTTTAAGAGATGGGATCTGTCTGCTCAGCAATATTATTTTATAAGTATACATGTGCCAGAGGCACTGGATGAGAGAATAGAAGTGGGGTGACAGCATTTTACAAGATAGGAGTAAGAGATATTGGCTGCTGTTTCTGAAATGCATCCTAAGACAGAAAAAGTTTTCCAGTATAGATATTCCCAAAAAGACAGTATCTGGGTTTGGGCTTTATTTAAATGTTGTTAGCTTGTGAGAATTCTGTAATGATACTAAAATATAATAGGAAAGTAAACTATTGCCTTAAGCCTCAATGAAAGTTGCATATCTAAAAAACAACAGAGGCAAAGCAAACAACTTCAAGACAGTCAATAGACTTTGGGTGAGGTGTACTGTTATAATGTCCTGAGAAATCATAAATAAAGATGTGAACCATAGAGCAGAATTGGTGTCCTGCAAGCCTGGCTCCACCACAGTCCATGGAGTAGATATTTCTTATGTGTCCATTCTAGTGTCTCTTCCATATCAAGCCCACATGTTGGCTTGCATGTTCCATGCATTTTAACCATGGTGACTGATCTATGCAGAACTGGTTGGCTGAAAGCCTCATAGCCAAGAAACTGCAGTCTTTATTTGGTGCCCTCTCCATGGACAAAGAAGCAAGGAAAGCTAGAATTAAGCTTCCTGTAGATGTCAAAATAAGACAACTAACATTAGAGAGTAGATGGAAAATTCAAATTTTTGGAGACAAGCACACATTGTAGGATGGCTTCCTTTGCATGTGCAAATCTGTGATTTCTCTGTTGACTTTTCTGTTATATCCACTATTTTTTTAATGCAAAATCAGAGGTTGCTACTGTCTGTGGTGTTTGACTTTGGTTGTCTTAACAGGAGAAAATCTTGAGGAGTTTGCTCATGGGGTATGAAGTGAGCAGCAGGATAGTCAAATATTTTGAGAAATGAACATTTCAGTGACTACAAGAAGAAGAGCAGCCCTGCTGGTAGTGAGCCACTCCTTGCTTGTGGGCCCCTGGAGGAATGAGTAAATACACTTTCCTAGGGAGGAACCCTACCAACTTGTCATTCTCCAGGCAGGATTTTGTTGATTAGAGGTAGGGGTGAGTTCATGTGACTTGGAAGGAGACCAAGTTTTCAGGATTTCTAAATCCTCAGTCTAGTACCAGACTGTGATCAGAGGAGTGATACTGAGGTTCACATCTGACTCCCAATTTCTTCTCAGGCCCTTTGCAGTGTTTGGTTTCAGCATCAGATAGAAAAAGTCAAACTCAACTTTAGTTTAGAACTAGATGGGTTATCACAGTGGGTATGGCCAAGCTGTAGTAATGAAAAGCACACCAACACCTGTTAGAGCATTATGTTAATATTAGGAAAGGTAAACTGCAGTCTCACTTTAAATCAAATGTTGAAGCATGGAATAAAGTTTGTACACTTGGGCAGTTTATCCATTACCTTGAACTGCCCAGAGGCATGAATAGAGAGGCACTGAACTGTCAGCCTCTGTTACAAGAATTCTGGGGAGAAAATATGGGTGTAGTCAGTTCTGGAAGTCCCAGAACCCCATTAACTTTTGCCAGTAATTTAACCTGATCAGAAATTACTTGGCCCTAAGTGCCCAGATTTTGCTACTGTTGCTAGTGATTAAATTAAGGCCTATCACACTAACTTAGAAACTTAAGGTTTGTGAGTTTTGTGACCTCACAGTAGATTGCTGATTTCCAGGGGGCTTTTTTTTTCCTCCTTGGAAGAGGTCCAAACGTCTTTTCATCCATTTGTTCCAGTGGGTGAGTCTTGGCAGAACCTGGCATAGCCAAGAATAGCATAGTGGCAAGCCCTGCCTCTCAACCAATACAATGTGCTTGAACCAATTCACCTAAGGACCCACCTTCATGTGGCTTTTGGCTCCAGTGCTGCAGGCACTAGAGAGAACTGAGTCATGGTTATGGCAGAGGCATCCATCACGACACAGCTGCCCAGTGAAGTACAGAGCCATGTGAACTCAGAGCTGAAAGCAGTGTAGATGCAGCAAAAGTCTTTGCAGTTTGAGCAGCAGATGTCTTTCCCCTATGCCAGTAGTGAGATACTTGGCATCCTGCCACAGGTTTTCTGTGTAAATTTGGGTGAGTCACTTCATCTCTCCCTGAATTTTGGTCTGTATTGTTCATCCAGGCTTTTAGGACCATAGATTTGTTTCTTTCTGGGCAGAGGGATAGTCCTTCACTATCAGGTTGTTTCAATCATTACTGTAGCCTAGATAAATTTGATACAGCTATTAGTTTCTCTTCAGCTTGTGCTGAATAAGAGGTACCATCCAGAAGAGATGAACAATTTGCCATAATGATGATGATGTTAACACATATTTCATAGAGTGCTAGATTCAAGACCTTTTGAGATCCTACCACACCTACTTCAGTGAGGCTTTGTTCCTCTGCGTGGCTTCTGAGAGTTGTTGCAACACATATAATTAAGAACAAGAAATGTTTACCTGGGGCTTAAAATTCTGTGAGACCATAATATAATACCAGCATTCTCCACCCATTTAAGTGCTCCCAGTGTCGTGAATGGAGTGACACACCTCCCTTGTAAGAGGTAGCAATGTTTATTGACATAAACCAGAGTTTTAGCAAGGTTTGATAGTAAATGTGACAGTGCTTTAACAAACTTTGATGGCAAGGTACACTTGATTATTTACTGCACAGAGGGCAAGGTGAGACAAAACTGTCAGAGAGACCCTCCAGTTGAGTCATGAGGTTCATAAAGGACCTCCTTGTATTTTAAACCCCTTTCTGAGAGGTTTCTAAATGTGGCTGAATCCAGACCTAGTTCCAGGCTTTGTCAATGGTTTATGTCTAAAGGATTATATGTGCACAACCAATAATTTATCTCACTTAGCTAAGATTTCAAAGTTTCAGTGTGCTTATTCCCAATTCACTTACTGAGTATTTAATGCAATAAGGATTCCCTCAACCTCGGAGAGTAACCTTGAGGGGCTTCCCTATTCAAGGGGAGATCCTGGCGTGCAGCCCACTGCCACACAGGAGAGCTCAGCGGACCCTGGGCTGTTCCCTATTTATGGAGTAAGATGATTGACTTACAATAATACTTGCAATAATACTTGCATACCAGCTGTATTTTGGTTGGCGCATGCTCAACTAGCCCTCTGCTGTTGAGTAAGTTTTATGGCCCTTAGCTATTGTGTTATTATCTGTCTTCCGAGAGTCCAGCTTAAGCCAGGTGCAGCCATCACAGCCACTGCTGTTAGCTATTGCTTAAGCCAAAAACAGGGGTGGGGGGCGGGGGGAAGTGCACTGCCACACCCAGTGAGCTCACCCTAACCATCCCTTCTGCATAGGACCTTCTTCTATACCATTAAAATAATTGGGAGTTTTGCCATTGATTCCAATGGCAGAGACTTTATATCAGCACCAGAGCATGCTAGTGATGAGAAAGATGTGTGATTGGATGGAGGGGGAAAACTTTTCTTTCAGTCCCTCACAATGGCTCAGAAATCCATTGAAAATGTTAGCAAGAGGCCTTTTTATTTCATTCTGGAAAAATCAAGTATATTTATTTCCTGTAATAAAATATTCTAATGGTAGTAAAGAGTGAAGTTCTAGAAGGAAAAAATTGATTTCTCAGCTAATTGAGGAGAGAGGGGGAAATTACAAATCCCCAGTTGCCTGTTACTGGTTGACTAGCAACATTTGGCCACAGAAAGCAGTATGAACATAGTTTTAACACGCAGGTGGCTACAAGAGAAGGCCTTTGCTGTATGAATGAAGCCCAGTATCTCCTAAAGTCATCCAACCTACTTTTCAAATTATATTAAAAAATGAGTCAGACTGAAACTGTTGTTGATTGTCTGCTCCACTTCAGATAGTTGCATGTTCATTTTAGCTTTAGAAAGAAGTTTGTGTCAGCATTTTCTCTTCCTTATAGTCACACTGGCTTTTCAAAATAGTTTTTGAGCTAAAAGTAAGTTTCCTGAAATTCATACAGTGGTACAAAAAATACCTCTTTCCTTACTGCTGCCGCACTGAAGCAGATGGTGAGTACTAAGACTCAGAATCAGTAAGCAAGTAATTATTCAATGCCTGGGTGCAAAAATGTAGCTGTTGGGTCAAAGTAGACTTCTACAAGACAGGCTGTCATTGCAAGTTAGTCTGAGTTCAAGTCCCCTTGAGTTAGCCCAGTAAGACTCCTGTAGTAGATTACATGAGAGGCAGAGATGCCCTGTTGCATATCCAGCTTGAGTTTCATCTGCGACCGTCTACCTTAAGCTGAAAGGCAGTTCCAGTTCTGTGTTTTTCTGTGTGAAGAGTAATCAGACTAGGGATGACACCTATGTTATACCTTAGGTTAGTAAAGACAAACTTGCAAAATTCATCACACAGCTAATGTGCATTCTCACTAAGATATCCACAGTCACTTTGGCACACAGTGCCAAATTATATAAAATTTGGCAATTTTATACGTGGGGATATGCTGCCTGTGAATAATGTCAACAGAGAACTATTTAGTGCAAACTGGTCTTGGAAAAAGTTAATTCTGCAAATTACAAAGCAACTTTTGCTCCCTCTGAAGTCAATAGAAGCTTATTTCACTTTTCAAATTCACTTTAATTAACCTGGTCTTGACACTGTGGCACTTACCTTGTTGTAAAGAAAATTGGTAGCTGTGAAAGATCAAAAATTTTCTAATTTAAGGTGGGAGGAAATGTTAGCTGCTGCTGAAAACCTTATCTTTTTAATAAGCAATAATGCAACCTGATAATTTACCGTTATTGAGTTTCCTTCTCTTTTTTTTTTTCTTAAGCGGAATTTATGTCACCTGTAGACAGAAATAAGGAAAGTGGATTGAAAATGCCAAACCTATGCAAATTTTGTGACATTAAAGTAACAACCTGCTCAAATCAACATCAGTGCAAGAGCAACTGCAACATCACTTCTATCTGTGAGAAAACTAGTGAAGTCTGTGTTGCTATATGGTAAGTTTTTTCGTCATACAGGTGGGGATGGGAGCACACCCTAATTCACCATTGCTTAGTACTTTCCTTAATTACTCTGATATTCAGAATGTCCCTGCTCCCTCACCAGGCTTTGCTCTCTCCTTTCCCACTCATATCTGTGGTCAGCATACTGAGAGTTGTTTGAGGTTAACAATTCTGATATGAAATGTTCTGGGAACTTTTTTCTTCTAAAACAGTTCTGTTGCAGCTTATGCTGTTATTGGAAAAGAGGGATGGTTTTGCTCAAACCAGTAAGCTGCATCCACCCACAGCACTCAGAGTAGAAACAGATTTGAGACTCAAGAGAGTATTGTGGTGACATTTGCTGAAGAAAGACAATTCTCTCATAGATTTCAAAGTGAACTAAATTATGTAGATAGGAGGAGGCTATTATGTAGATAGAACAGGAGGCTTATTGCCATGTAAATTGCCAGGTAGAAATACTTTCTCCTAATGTTAAACAAAATTCTGTGTATTTAGTGACTTCGATGTAGGCATGATGCCTTTTATACAGCCTATGTCTTGATTCAAAGAAATCAAGAGTTTATGAAAATGAGTTGTTTAGGACTTCTTGATTTTAAACTTGTGTTCCAGTCTAAAAACTGAGGTTTTGCATTTCCATAAATGGGAATCCAATCCTACCAAGGAAAACAAGAAACACTGTTAATGAATTCATAACTGGACAAAAGGAACAGAACTGTGTGTTTGCAGCATTGCTGCTGATTTAGGAGAATAATTAGAAGCCCTTACCCAGAGACATAATTAATTCACTTATTGAGGGATTAGTTGTGTCCATTGACTTGAAGAGATGTTCAGCGTAATTGGAAGTAGACATTTGATTTGCAGTTCCAGTGTGCTGTTCTATATTCGTCCTGTGCTTCTTTAATAACTGATCAGTGTCTATTATTGCCATAAAAAGGGACTGTAGTGAAATTTAAGATATGTTACAGGTTTTTCATGGTCATTTATTCAAAAGGCAAATGAGTTAAGAACTGTGTTTAAAGGGTTCTTTACCTTTCAGTCTTTTGTCAATGAAATGAAATCTATGGACCAGGACAGAATACAGGAATATGTTTCAGATTGTCAGCTGATAGTGAGGCAACTCTAGCTTGCATCAGTTTTATTATTGGTATTGGGATGGGGTTTGTTTTCTATTTGTTTAGGTTTTTTTAAAATATAAAGATAACTCCTTCAGTGCAGTGCAGAAATTTTGCTGATTGTAGGCTTAAAAAATAAATAAAAGGCCAACTCAATAGAAATTCCTCAGATTTTGAGGAAATAATTCTCTTTTTATCATAATTTCACACAGATTTTTACTGTCTGCTCAGTGACCACAAAAACCAAAAGTATGTTCCAAGGTTCACAGCAGTTCATTGAACACTAGCTTGAATAATTCTGGATGAGATTTCCAAAGGCACTCTTCCGAGCTTTGTGGTAATATGATACAGGAATAGCTGTGCCATTGTACAAATGTGAGGAGTCCAGACACAGCCAAATCAGGAAAGACAGAAAAGAATACATGATGCTCTTTAAGTACTATTTATGTTTTCAAAAGAGGCAAATTTTGGGCAGGTGCAGTCCTATCTGCTCCCTTTGTAAAATATTCCTTCTTTGATTTCAATTTTCTCCTTTTCATTTTCAGGAGACAGAATGATGAAAATGTGACCTTAGAAACAATTTGCCATGATCCCCAAAAAACACTTTATGGTCACGTTTTGGATGACTACAACTCAAAGAAGTGTTTGATGAGGGAAAAGAAGGAAGATGGGGGATTGATGTTCATGTGTTCCTGTACAAGTGAAGAATGCAATGATATGCTCATTTTTACATCAGGTAGGTTTAATAATTTACCTTGCATTCCTACATTCCTTGCAACTGTGTAATACCAATGTACTTTGGACTTGCATTTTGTGGAGGAAAACTTCTAGTTGCAGGAGCTCTTTTGGTCTCTTTTGAATCTTGCAAAATCTCAACCTTCCTTTTGTGCGTTCAGAGGATATTTCTTTCTGCCAGGCTGTCCTCCTTTTGAAATAAGTCTGATAGTCAGCCTGAGACATTGCACTTAAAACTGATTAAAGAGGAAAGCAAGACGTTTACATTTGTTCTGTTGACAGACCAAAATGCAGCATATACTAATTACATTATAATACCTAAACTAGAGGCAAATTCTGTATTTAAGGTCTTGCCTCTTCGAAAAGGCTGTATTGCCATAGTGTGTCATCTGCATATATAAATGCTACTGATAACTTGATAGAATGTGAAATTTAAGTCAGATTCTCTGTTGTAACTGACCATCTGCCCTTCTTCTGTGGTGGGCGTGAAGTAGCTAGAAGGTTCCTTTTCAGGGGGATATGTTACCTCGCTCTTACTATGGCAAAAGGAAGTGTATGTGGGTTCAGTTAAACCAGGGAAATCTGACTATAGACCAAATCACGACCTGTCCCCATTCTACTTCAGCCCACTGCAAACATAGTAAAGGTGGTGCAGGTGTGTATAGGGCTGGTGGACCTCATGCTGCACACACGGATGTGCGTGGGTCCACACACACACCCCTTGCTTTATTTTCTCCTGCCTGCTGGATCCCATAGTGATGCTTTTACTGAGACGAAGTCAGGTCTCTTGCAGGCAATTTTGAGGCCTTCTGTGGAGAAATTTGTGTGCACACACTTCTAAAGCATTGCAGCACACAGAACCCATCTTCATTGCCTGTAGGTTCCTCAGAACAGGATATAGTTTGATCCTCGTTACCTGAGATAACAAAGGGTTGGGACACTGTTTCTACTCCTGGAAAACATGGTCCGTGACTGCACTGAGGTGGACAACTGTGTGAGTGACTTCCAGCTCTCACTTCCCAGTCCTCCAAGAAGGCGAACTAGTTTAGGTCACAAAACCACAACAAATTAGACAAGAGAAAGCTAGCAAGTCTTTTTTTCCCTTGGCCCAGTCTGTCCATATCTGGTCCCATGCTCTTCCTTATTCCCTCCCCAAGCCTGATTTGAAACCAGACAACCTGATTGCTGATCTGTGGTTGTGTGACCAGCCCTTACGTGGGTGAGCTTTAAAGAGCTTGGAGTATATACTGGTATTGATGTGAGCACAGGGGGTAGATCCAGGACCTAATTCTAACAGATTGCCTAGATTTTTTTTAAGAGAATGTATTCCCAGTGAATAGATCTTACTCTGTGTTAGCTGTCTAGTGTTTTTGTACAGCATGAACCACACCCTTGTGGATTTTGGCTAATTTGTTATGAATTAGTCATCTTATAGCTGTTTCTCCTGGAGCTGTATAGCTGAAGGCAATCACCGTGATAAATGTGTGTCTTCAGTGTGTATGTTTATGAAAACTGTTCTAGAAATTCAACACCAAGTGCCTTAATTCCCAGCAACTCTGCAGCCTCACTCACATTTCCAGAATAGCCTAAAAGGAGTAATATAAATTTAAACCCAGTCTTTTTGCCCTAATTCCTTTCACTCCTCCGAGTGGAGCTTTTCCTTCTAGGTCATGTGCTGTAAGCACTCTAGGTGACTCATGAAAACCATGTGCTGCATTCATATGTATTAAGTGAATAACTACAGACAAAAATTAAAATAATGTAAAACTTCACTTTGTAACATTTCCAGTTCATTCACAAACACAGGCATTAACTGCAGTCGGAAGGGGGGAGAATTGAGGCTTTGTCATTCCTTTTTTTATTGTTGTGGATTAGTGTTTCTTTTAAATGAAAACAGCCCCATTGGGTTGCTTGCCTGGTTAGCCATGGCAGGAAGACAAACGATTTTTACAGTATCAGACATGCGGTTTCCTGTCTGTGTTTAACTTTGAGCAGAACATCACAGCCAGCTGGTCCATGGCTCCTCCAGACAACTAGATAATAGCCTGTAATAATTTTGCCTTTGGAATGACTGTCATCCAAATCTATTCCATACATTGTTCTTGCCTTTTTTTTTTTTACTCTACATTTCTTGTCCACCAGAGCAAGAATTTTTTGCAGTGGTTTTGCATATTCTGTAGTTTTAGAGAGCAGACAAAAGCTACTCTAAAAAAGCCTGATCAAACAGTGATTTTACTCATTTATTAGCAGAAATTGAGATGATAAAAAAGATTGTAATTTTTCACCTGTTAATCACAGCCTTTCCTTTCAAGCTGTTGCTATAAATGATTAGTGTTCTACCTCTTCTTCCTGCATACACACTTGAGACAGACCAGATTTAATTTGTTTCTGTTTTTTCTGAGGTAAGAAAGAAAATTATGGGTAAGGCAACAAGTTCTAATTTCCACCTGACGTTAGTCACTATGTTTTAGTGATTCACAGCTGGGCTGTTATTGCTTATGGAAGAATTGGTTTATAGCACTGTTGGCTCATATCAGTCTTGAATGTGAAGGGCAAATCTCATGACTCCAGTTTTAGACACAAGCACCTAAGGGTTTTGGGTATTGGGAGGTGTTGTGACTCACCCAAGCGTGGCTTTAGAAATGTTTGAAATAGTTACATTCAAATCAAATGCCTATTTCTTGTATGGACTTTCATTTAAATGACCAGTCTGCAAAATAAGAAAAACACAGTCAGATATGCACCTAAACATGCCTGTAGTTCTGCTGTATCAGGGGGCTGACCCTGATTCAGATCCCTGGTGTTTCAGGCCACAGGCACCTCATCGAAAATACTGTGTGCAGAATCACTCCAAACAATGTTCTATAGTTCTTGGAGAAATAATATAAAGGAGACAGGTAACCATTGTAAATCTGACTACTGTGTATTTGTTTGTTAATACATCCCCTTTTTGCCAAACAAAATTGTGAATCACTGGCAAGCGACTTACAGCCCTGTGGTGGAAAAATGCTTCTCACAGCAAAACTCAATGCCAGTGTGTTGTAATTATTATTTATTCAAAAGTCTAATGTCAGTGTTACCCAAAGGCAAAGCCAGGGAACAAAACCACTGGAAAAGATTAACTAAAATCAGGGTGAAAAGGCCCTGGGTGGCTAGAGGTTGACTAGGCAGCAGACAGAGGCCTGGCCCTACTGTCATGGAAAAAATGAGCGCTAGACTACCAGGGTTTTTTCCTCCCTGATGTCTGGTTGTGTCTAGTGGATCTTCTACATCTTGCTTTACCTTCTTATGCTTTGACCTTCTGTGATGAACCAGGTCTATCTGTAGTTGTTTGCACAGTCTCTCTCAGTCCTCCCTTGATGTTTGGGAATCTCTGTTCCTCAACCTTCCCTTTGCCACACCATCTTCCAGCCTCTATTCATCAGCCAGTGTGAGCATGACAACTGTCTAACAAAGTTGGTTTTTATTAACAATCCTGAGTTCCTTGACTGAGGTCAAGGCTTGTTTACCCAAAAGGACCAAGCAGGACAGGGCCCTTTCCAGTCCCACATCTCACCCATTTTCCACAGGCAAAGATGACTAGGCAATCTTAGTAATATGCAGGAATCTCATTTCCTTGGCTACAAAGTGCGTGACCTACCTGCTATGCCATGCAACTTCTTCCTTTTATGCAGCTCATTCAGGCACTTTCATTCAGTGATGTGCAAAAGGGTGACCCAGCACTGGACATTGCAAACAGGAAAACAAATCCTTTAAGTACTGTTGTCAGTATATATGCAGTTGTTATCCTGGGCATCAAATTCAAATCCAAGCAACAACGCAGAGAACTCAAAATCTGGAAACAGGATTTTAACACAGCTCTATTTGGTTTACAGTTGTTTCATTCTAATAACTTACATGGCGGTAATATTTTATCATCACCTGTCTTGCCATGGTATGCAGCTTGAAACCAAGGTGTCTGTGGGATTGTTCAGGTAGACTATGTTAATTGCTCATGTCCTGCAAGATGAGGTCATTATTTTGGGCATTCCCATCTCACCCAAATACGGGAGAAATCTGTAGCAGCAACAATGTGTACAAATTCTGAATCATCCAGATAGTTGCCTTGGAGTATCAAAACTTCAGTGATAGACATGAACAGCAGGTCAACAAGAGTTTATGAGAATAATGAAGCTAACTGGGGAAGTGTGCCAAGGAAGGGAGAGAGTTGTGCTGCTAACAATCTTCACATTGATCATGGTTTCACAAAGTTGGCTAATTGAGAGTGTAAGAGATGTAAGTATTTGATTAATCAATTGTGGGTGAGTCATCTGCCTGAACAAATTACAGTCTATGGATTTGCAGTGTGTCAAGTGCTGTGGTTGCTCACTGTGTATGGTTGTTACCTGGGAGAGCTAATATTGTTCTGCTGCCTGAAGCACTGCAAGCATGCCTGTGCAATGCCTTGTCCTATGCCCAGATCACAGGAGATATGGATGATGTTTTAGAGTTTCCTTAACTTGATATCTCTCACTTGTCTCTAACATGTTGCCCGTCTTTTCCTTTCTTTCTCTCCTCTTCCTCTCCTTACTAGAGTCAAAATGTTAGTGATTTTACTTGACTGCATAGAAGGATCTCAAACTTAAGAACAGACTTAAGATCTGTGCACAGTCATGAGACCATAAATACTTATGTGATGAGTTGTCCGGTGCTCAAGGAACAACAGAAGGGAGATGATTACAGATGGACTGCTTCCAAGTGGATTTTAACAAAGGCTTTCATTAATCTCTTTTTCTGTTATCCAACTAACATGTTCAGAAGGTAACTGTCTTCCAGCTGCCCCATAAAAGAGGTCAGTAGCATTACATAACGTGTCACACAGCCTCTCACCGCTTGTATATTGGCTTTGTTCTCTATGTTTCCTCTTAGGTATTTACAGGCACAAGAGTCCCACCCAGTGCCTGCAGCTGTGTGTAACCAAAGGAGAGGCTGTCTAATGCTGAATGTCTGAATCACTTAGTG